AGTGGAATTGTTGGATAGCATGGTATCTATTTTTAATTTCGTTAAGGACCCTCCATAACAGTTTTCCATAGTGGCTGCAGCAATTTACGTTCCCACTAACAGTGCAAAAGGCTTCCCTTTTCTCCACATTGTTGCCAACACTTGTTATTTCTTGTCTTGTTGATACTAGCCATTCTCACTGGTATGAGGAGATACCTTATTGTGGTTTTGATTTGCATTTCGCTGATGATTAGTGATAGTGAACATCTTTATGTATGTCTGTTGGCTATCTGTATGTCTTCTTTGGAAAAAAACATCTATTTAGGTCTGCTGCCCATTTTTTTACTTGGATTGTTTTCTTGGTGTTGACTTATATGAGCTTTTTATATATTTTGGATATTAACCCCTTATCAGATATGCCATTTGCATATATATTCCCCCATTAGATAGGCTTCCTTTTTGTTTTGTTGATGGTTTCTTTCACTGTTGCCCTTGCCTGAGAAGACAGATTAAAAAATAAATATTTCACTAAGACCAATGTTCAAGAGTTTACTGTCTATGTATTCTTTCAGGGGTTTTATATCTTCAGATCTTACATTTAGGTCTTTAATCTACTTTGAGTTTACTTTTGTATATGGTATAAGAAAGTGGTCAGTTTCATTCATTTGCACATAGCTCTCTGATTTTCTTAATACCACGGATTGAAGAGTCTTTTCCCCATTGTATATTCTTCCCTCCTTTGTTGTAATTTGACCATGAAAGTGAGGGTTTATTTCTGGCCTAAAATAGTAAGTGTGCACTTATTATTTTAAAAATTATTTTCTGGTTGTCTTTGTAATTCTTTGTTTTTCTATTATTTATTTTTGCTTTCTTCCTTTGATTTGATGACTTTCTTCAGTGTTAGGCTTAGATTCCTTCATTTTTTGTGTTTTGATTATATAAATTTTTGGTTTGTAGTTACAATTCTGTTCATATATAACATCCTATGTATAAAACAGTCTATTTTAACTTGAAGGTCACTTATGTTCAAATGGATTCTAAAAGCACTACACACTTACTCCCTGATGTTTATATATTTGATATCATTGTTTACATCTTATTTTGTGCATCCCTTAAATAATTATTGTATTTTTTTTACAGTAAGTATTGTATTGTCGATTTTTGCCTTTTAACCTTTAAACTAGCTTTATATGTGATTGAGTTACTGCCTTTACTGTTATGTTTGCTCTTACCAGTGACATTTTTGTCATAATTTCCTTACTTTTAGTTTGGCTTTTTCTTTTCCACTTAAAGAAGTCCCTTTAACATTTATTGTATGGCCAGTTTGGTAATTATACATCCCTTTAACTTCTGTTTATCTGGAAACCTCTTCATCTATCCTTCAATTCTGAATGATATCCTTGCTTGGTAGAGTGTCTTGCTTGTAAGTTTTCTTCCTTTTGGCACTTTGAATGTATCATGTCACTGCCTTCTGGCCTGCAAAGTTTCTACTGAAAAGTCAGCTGGTAGCCTATGGAAGTTCCCTTGTATGTAACTATTTGCTTTTCCCTTGCTGCTTTTAAGATTCTCTGTCATTAGTTTTTGACATTTTAATTATGTGTCTTGGTGTAGACCTCTTTGGGTACATCTTAGCTGGGACCCTCTATGCTTCCTAGACCTAGATGTGCTTCTTTCCCCAAGTCGGAGAAGTTTTCAGCTATTATTTCTTCAAATATGTTTTCTGCCCTTTTTCTCTCTCTTCTTCTGGGACACCTATAATGTAAACTTGATGCTGCACCAGATATCTTAACCTATCCTCATTTTCTAAAAATTCCTTTTCTTTTTGCTGTTCAGCTTGGATGATTTTTACTACCCTGTCTTCCCGATCATTGATCTATTCTTTTGAATCCTCTAATCTGCTGTTGATTGCCTCTAGCATACTTTTCATTTCAGTTATTGTATTCTTCAGCTCTGATTGATTCTTTTTATATTTTCGTTCTGTTTTTTGAAGTTGAGTTCATCCATCCTTTGTCTCAAGTTTGGTGAGTATCTTTATGATGATTACCATGAACTTTTTATCAGGTAGATTCATATCTCCATTTCATTTAGTTCTTTTTCTGAGGTTTTATCTTGTTCTTTAGTTTAAAACATATTACTCTGTCTCCTCATTTTGTCTGATTCCATGTTTGTTTCTATGTATTAGATATGTCTTCTGTGTCTCAGGGTCTTAAAAGTAGCTGTCATATATAGAAGGCATTCTTTAGGACCCAGAAGTGCAATCCTTGGTCACCAGAACCAGGTGCTCCAGGGGTGCCCTCTGTGTGGGCTGTATACACCCTCCTGTTGTCACTGGATTGTGACTGCTGCTGGGCAAGGCTGGACACTGACCCATCTGGTTGCAATACCTGACTGCAACTACTGCAGGTGCACTGCTGGGCAGGGTTGGCCCCATCATCACTGACTGAGAGGCCCAGTTGATGCTGCCGGCATATTTTTTAATACAATTTTTGGGAGAACAAGTGGTAAAAGCATTTTAATGTGGTAATGGTATTAGCAAAAGAAGGGCTTATTTTAGAGTTTTTACTTGGGTCATTATAAGTATTACAGAATTATAAAATTATAAAATAATCTAAAGATGATTGAAGTTAGAACTGAAATTCCTCATGCATAGAAAAATGGTGTTAAATGTATTATTTCTAAGCCATAAATGCTATAATTTGGATATATCTTTATATCCATAAAAGCAACCTAAATCTCAGTAATAAGAACTGATCATGAAGCCCTCACGTGTGGGCTATCATAGTCAGACCACCATCTCCAAAGTTTCATTTAGTGCTAATAATATTGCTCTAAAGTATAGTTACCTTATTGTTAATTTTCTAAATGCTTGGCTAAAAATGTCTGAAATAACATTTATTACAAAAAAAAATTGCTTAAGGCTAGGTTTGTTGTGAATTGAAAATTTTTTTCCAATTCCAATGTTTAAATAGTTAAAAATATAGTATGTGACAAAGGCCCTTGACTGTTTAAGCACTTTGAAAATCTAATTGTAAAGAACGGCAGCTCAGATTATTTTTTCTGACAATGCTGATTTCTTCCCACACATTAACTATAAGTACCAAGGTTTATTATGGTGTCATTAGGAAGTCCATTAAGATAAGCCTCCCAGGATTTCCAGTAGAGTTAACATGTGTCAACTCTCGTCCTCAGCAAGGCTACCAGGAGGTACTGCTGGGCTGGAATTAGGAAGGATACGTTTTCAAAACAGGTGTTACTATTGACATAGCCATTAAACATCCTGCTTCACCACAGTTCCTAGGAGAATAGGTATTTTCTCATTTAAATTTGTAATACCAATTCCTGCATTCTACAGAAAGCTGTACTCCTGAGAGTATTTCCAAAATAACATAAAGTCTGGGTGGTGTGTCTGTGCAGTGTGTCTCTGAATGTATGACGTCAAAGCTCACCCTCCAGTATTTGTAGACTTAACAGTAGAAGTCAACAGACTAAACTTGAAAGTCACTAAAGCAATTAACATGGCAGCTGGCCTTGCCTCTCTCTTTGGTGACACAGATATAGTAGGGAAATAAACCAAGTCCAGAGGTGGTTACCCTTCAGTTCCTATGAATGCACAGCTGCCAAACATACGTCAAAGGATAAGGCAGAGCTGTACATTTTCACAGAGAGTTAAAGACAATTGAGATATTAAAGATCAGCTAGCTGAGGGATTCTCAATGTTTGCTGTGTTTAAGAATATTCCTAGACCCACCCACTGAGATTATGACTCAGCAGCAGTAGGTAAGAATAGAACTAGTAATAGCATATAGCACTCCTAAAGCACTTGCTTTGTGCCAGATACTCTAACTTCTTTACAAGTACTACCTTATTCAATCTTCACCGCAATCTTACTGGGTAGGTGCTACTATTTCCCCATTTTACAAATGAGGAGGCCAAAGCACAGAATGGTTAAAGGATCTGTCTGAAGACAACCAATGAAGAAATGAATAAGTATTCAAACCCAGAGAGTCTGGCCTCAGAATCTGAGCTCTCAATCCCTGCACTAAATTACCAAACACAGGGCTGGGGTGAACCCCAGGGTGTTAAGAAAATGTCATGACTGAAGTCAATCCTTTCTTTTCCGATTGAAGAAAATGAAACCCAGAAGAGTGAAGTCTCTTATCCAAGACAAAAATCCTTCAGTGTATTCCAGGAAGAAACCACCCCTTATACGACCCTAACTACTCTTAACTATTTTTCTCTGCACATTCCTCTAGGAAGGAAATGGACAGATGGCACTATGAAAAGCCAGCTCACTGGTTCCAGCTGGGTTACATTACTCCGACCAAGGTGCTCTTCTGGGGCAGAGGCTTCCAACCTTCTCTGTTCAACTCACTGTTCATTCACAGGACATAGCACACTCCAGGGTCAACATAGGGATCCTAATCATGGTGATTCTCAAGGGAGGAAAAGAGGAAAGGGGAGAGGGAGATGCCATCCCCAAAAAGGGATGGTCATTGGAATGTGGGAGATAAGGTTCACGTAATTTGAGGATGGAAAGAAATATGTGACTATTATTTGGCTCCCAAGGATAGTCGTCTTCCTTCCTCTGAACTGACTCTTCTAAAGCCTTAGTACATATCAAAACATCATTTGCTCTTTGCTTTGTTCTACTATATACAGGAACGCAGAATACACTGAATGATCAGACCTACTGTGAGCTGAAACTACTCAAATGCATTCTCTCAAAAGAGAAAACTTTCTGTACATTTCTGAACTACATTTAATATTCAGGGTCAGGCCAACAATCTTACAGATGTTTTGAAATGGTGCCTTTTTACTTACTTGTCATTTCTGTTCAACAGTCAAGGTGATTCTGGGAGACCATGGGCAAGGATAATAACCACACATCCCAAACGAAGGGTGAGTTAGCATGGCCACAATGCAGAGGTATGTATTTTCAAGGCGACAAAGAGGGCTGGGGGTGGGGGGTCAGAGTTCGCTAGTGTCCCAATGACACAAACTGGTAGCCACGTCAAACCAACCTTCATCACTTCCACCTGCAGGTCTTCATTGAGGGAAGGAGTCACTTTCACAGCATTCAGGATCTGATTGAGCAGCTGCTTCTCATCAGAGTCTGTTTCCATGGATACAAACCTCTCTTCTGACAGAAGCTTCTGTAAAGAGGCACAAGGCAATGATCACAGACAGGCTTTCCCCTGCTGCCTTACTCTGTTGTATCTTGTAGGCATTGACGATGATTTTTCTTTCTCAGGAGGAATGTAGCCGAAGGCCATTAGGAAAGGACTCCTATGTGCCATTAAAAAGGGAAATGCATCAAACCTTTGGTAAATGGTTTTCAGGGAAGACATTTTCCTGCTATTAGATAATTCCTTCTCACTTTTATCAAGCAAAATTCTAACATGGTGGCCATATAGGCTATGGGGTTGGTGAGGACAGAGGATGAATGTACGCCTCACAACAGTCACACTCACACATAGCCTTTCTGAATGCAGCTTGGTCACAGGGAAGGAGTGTCTTGTAAACAAGATCCTCTTGCAGATATTTACCACTTTATTTCCTAATGTGAACTGGCATTTCAGTTAATCCCCAGAACCCACAAATCTTAATGTATTTTCATCAGAAAATGAATCCCACAAAAACCTAAATGAGGACATTCACAGTCATGAGTTCCCTTAGGAGTCATTACACCTCACAGGAGAGCCCTTTTCTTTAGGACCACTCTTATTTCTCATAATATTCTTCCTCAGATTATACCAAAACCTACCTGCCTATGACTTCTATTTTCCTGGAGCCACATAGATTAAGCTTTTAAATATCTAAAGTTAGCATGAAGTCCACTAAAGTCTCTCCTTCTCCATATTAAACCTCAGGCATCTTCCAATGTTCCTGACATATGGTTTCACAGATGCTCTTTTGCTTAAAATGGAGCCTCCAGAGTGAATAACACCTTAAGGGTGGTCTGACATTAAAGAGTAATGCCAAGTGTACCCTAAGGTAAACTACGGACTTCAGGTGACTATGATGTGTGATTATAATAAAGGCTTATCTTTGGTGAAAACAATGCTATATTCTAGGGAGTCGTGTTGATAATGGGGGAAGAAGCTATGCAAGTGGGGGTGGGTAGAGGATATATGCAAAATCTCTGTATCTTCCTCTCTTAGAATTTTACTGTAAACCTAAAGCTGCTTTAAAAAAATTGTCTTAAGATTTTTTTTGTAATGGTAGAAGGTAAAGATAGAAAGAAATAGGGTCTTTGGTGGCACCACTGAGCTGCTACACTAAACCTGGAACTGACCACCTTTACAGTTGTCATTATGTAAGATAATTAAATGTGTTTATTACCTAAAAGCAAAATCCAAAAGACAGTAATGCATAATTATCCATACCCTCAGATCAAATCATCTTAGTTTTAAGTCACAATGCATTCTCTGTTGACACATCCCGAAACCCTTAATTCTTAATCACAAGGGCTGCAATTATGTTGTTCTCCCTCATTCTGTCCTGGGGCAGTTGATTTTTGAGACCCCAGTGTAGTATTTTATATTTATTCCTGTTAAATTTGCTTTGTCCAATTCTGCATGAGTTGCAGCTGTGAAGAACTTATGGACTTTTGATTCATTCAGTGTAATAACACCCTCTTGGAGCTGAATGCCTTTACGGATCTGGAAAACTAGTATTTCAAACCTTCTAGGACTCCCTGACATTATGCCTGTATTCTCTCAAAAGAGATTTTTCACTATCATGCAGTGCATGCAGGGTAGCCCAGAGCTGCCTGTTTTTACCTAAAGTAATAAAGACTGGGAAGCCCTAAACAAGTGCCTAAAGTTCATAGGAGGTAACAGGTGTGGGAAGACACTGCTCACCAAGTCATTGAACTTAACATGATGAAGTCAGTCCTTCAAAACATGGACTGCAACTTAGAATGTTTAAGGGTTTAAAGAAAAAAAAAGTAACTAAATGGAACATCTACACAGTACTAGAGAAAAGGAAATAAAAATGAGAGGTCAAAACCAACTCCCACTCATTTTTATGACTGGCACAATTTCCTTGGAGAAAGAGTTTTTGATAACATTATTGACAATGTTAAAAAATGTCACCTGCTAAGGTATATTAATACACATATTATCTAATTCAAATCCACTCAAGGAAAAAAGTCATAATTTTCTCACTCTTTCATATGTATTGCCTCTTAAAAGGTATGGGGGACCTCTCTGAATTTAAAGAGCTAACAACGAAATAGTACACATTGATGTAGAAAGACACGTATAAATGCCACCAATTTATGGCCACAATGAATAAAACCCACAGGCTTGAACTTCACAGTTTTTGTCACTTAGAAACCAAAGTACTTAAAAGTCTATTTATTTATATAGCCATCACCTTTGCACTGTTGGAATCAGACCAATTATGTATGGTGTAATATACAAATGAATAAATGTTCAGAGAAGGAAAGGTGTTCAAGCAATCTGACTTTTCTGATTAGATCACATTTGTTTTTTGTCTTCCCAATTATGCTATGAAAAAAAAAACACATTAATCCATTCATTAACCTAATGTAGAATAAACAACAAAACAAAATCTTTATGGTTTCCCATCAGTTCTCATTACACAGAACCACAGATACTGCATGTATAGAAGTTTTTAGTTGGTGGAGAATTTGAGTTGTCTCTCTCAGCATCTCTTACTCTCCTAAAAGTTGGATGTCACAAAAGCTATTTCATTTCTGTGTGGGCTTGCATGGGTCCCCATGAATCTGTGTCAGACAACGAAGGCTCAACTAGAGAATGCTCTGCACAGAGAAATGCTGGTAAATATAAGAAAATCTTGCCATCCTCTATGGTTATTAACTAAGTTCAGTCAAATTTTTCTCTTGGGCTTTAAATAGCTAATATTTAAAACGTTAACTATTTGTTCTTTCAATGTCAACGAGGCTTGTCAATTTCTGTTGCCCAGATGCATTCAGTGCGAGCCATACCTGGATCCCTGCCAAGGCATGTTGGGCGAGCTTCACATTCTTGGATTCCAAAGCCAACTGGAGAGGCAGCAAGCATTTCTCTCTGGCAAACACATAAATAAGGACAACATGTGAGCTTAGCAAAACTGGCAGGCAAGTGATATGAGCCTTAGGTACACCCAACCCCAAATGCTGCCACGTACATACACAAAAATGATAACCACATGGACTTTTAAAAAACATGTGCAGAAATGAGAGTGTCTCTGCACCTGCCTTCTTAGTAGGGCTATAGAAGAGCAAATGCAAGGATACTCAAACAAGCATTTTGGAGTACTAATTATTGCACAGAGGGACCATGTCCATGAGCAGGCCTTGGTCTTTCCCAAATTAATGTAACTGTTTGTAGCCAGTATACCTGCGGAGAACAAATCGAGGAAGCACCATTTACATAGATTTCTATGCCTCGCTCATATCTCTCCCTCACCCAGGAAGTGACTGCCTCACCACCAATATAAATTGAAATCCTATTAGCTCATCAATTTCTCCCCAGCTCAAAGTCTTCAATAATCACTTCTAAGTTCTAAGTTTTTTTCTTTCGTCTCCATCAGATAGATCTGAATTTTGTGATAGATTGTTAACAGACATGTGTCCAAATCAGAACTACAAACAAAGTATCAACAGCTTGGACCGAGTACCTGGTGCCATGGAAGAAACAAATACATGAGAAACAACTTAGATGTTTTAAAACTTAAAAAAACAAACTGGGCACCAAAATATGTTAGGAATAAACCAAAAGGGCTATAAAGAGAAACATCTTTCTGTTAGACACATTCACTCTAAATAATTAAAGAACAGACCAAGAATTTTAATCAACCTATTATTTCCCCATGGAGTTACACTGGCACAACAAATGAAATATTAATTTTACCAGGTTGCTCCACCCCAACTTAAACCAGAGCAATCCCATTTTTATCTGTTTTATATTGTCAGCATAAATGAAAAGATTCATTGACTTTAGAGAGTCTGAAAGCCACAGGGTATGACGACAGGATTTCGTCTTTGGAGAAATAGGGCCACTGGTGCAGAACACAATGAAACAGAAAGTTAATTATAGCTCTGATTCCTTCCTGTCCAGTCTGCAGCTCTGCTGCTTTTCCATGGAATCTTCCATCAGCAGCTCCATGACAAATAACTGGGAGTCATCAACACTCCCTAATGCTGGCCACAAAGACAGAATAAAACAGACTCTCGGATATAAAATTCACCTTCCTAATCCTTCTCACCTCTCCCCACACTAATCCAATGTTGCAATGCCCACTTTTATATGGCAATTGATTTTTTTCAATTTCATTCTTTTCCTTAATCATAATTATAAACTTGGAAAAATTAATTGGAAGGGTGAAAGTCAAGTGAGAAGTCAGAATCATCAGCAGATGGAATATTAACAGAAGAATCACAGAACTTCATCTGTAAACACTTGATTGGATTAGGAAATACTGAACCTGCTGGACCTTGGGAAGCAGCACCATGTTTGCATATGAACAACTGCATACCCATATTTCTCTGCCATATTCAGTATTAGTCCTTGAAACCCTCATTCCACTCTCACCTGCATATATAGTCACGTGATTTATACTGCCGCCCTGAGCCGTATTGTGACAAATGCTGGGAATGCCAGGTTGCACCACAATTGCAGGGATCTCCCTGAACCGCTCTCCATGCCAGTCATGGTCACCAGGCATGCTCAGCTAGGTTATGGCAGAGTTGAAGGGTATCTAACTGTTTAGAATGGAGGAAATATAGGCTATGGAGTCACACAGATCTGGATTCAAACCTTAACTATTTATAATTTGTGCAATCTCAATTAAGATACTTAACCCTGTTGTATCTTAGCTCCCTAATCCATAAAAAGGGCATCTTAGGACTAGTCCCAAGGGGTTGTAGTAAGTAGTCCTTATAGATTATATCATGGGTTGGCAAACTTTTTCTATGAAGAAAAGATAATAAATATTTTAGGCTTTGAGTCTATAGACTCAACTCGGCCACAGAAACAAAAGCAGTCACATACAATAGACAAATCAATAAGCATCGCAATGTTCCAATAAAACTTTATTTACGAAAAGAGGCAACGGGCCAGATTTGGCCTATCAGCTGTTGTTTGACCAGTTCTGATATAGACAAAGGCCCAGCACAGATCATGATTTTTCAGCATAGGATAAGAAGATCTAATCTTGTCATAGTACCAGAAAAATTCTGCATAGGACATGGAGCTAACTGTCCTGGGAGGATCTTAGCAAAACCAATTATAGCACCAAGGTCTCTCTTAAAAAATAAGTGCTTTGAGGAAGCAGACTGAGAGATTTCATCTAGGTACTGCATCAGTGTACCCAACCATCCTTTCAACCAACATCTGAGTGTCTACTGTGTGCCAGGCACCATCACAGGTGCTTGGAAAGACCTGGCAAGTGCTTTCATTTTCTTCATGAGTTACATTTGTGAAAATGGAGGTTCAGAGAGGTTTTGTAGCCTGCCCAAAGCTGTACTGCTAAAATCTGTGGGAGACAATCCAAACGGAAGCCCATCTGACTCCCCCAACACTAAATTCCTTCCAATACCCTTTTGTATCAAATGATCAGAGAAAAAGCTAGAAGGATCTGTTTATTTGTGAACGCAGAAAAAAATCTGACAAAAGGGCCTCTTCCTAGAGAACTGTACAAATCATTTCAGGGATTCATTCCCCCCCTCCCCCTATGCCCAGCTCCACAAGGACCCCCTGCCTCCAGGGAAGAGGACCCTGCTCAACATGGTGGGAATTTCTGCGTTGTGTTACCTGGCTGGGCATAGGGTGCTGCTACGAAGGGCTTTGAACTGATGATAAGCTGAGTCCTGAGACAGAGAGAGGTTGGGATGTGTGTGTGTGTGTGTGTGTGTGTGTGTGTGTGTGTGTGTGTGTGTAGAAGGTTAGAAGGTGAGAAGGATGGGTGTGTGTGTGTGTGTGTGTGTGTGTAGAAGGTTAGAAGGTGAGGAGGATGACTAACTCTCCTTAGGACCTTAGATCTCTCATCTGCTCAGAGCCAGCAGTTGCCTAGATTAGCATTACATGCCTCAGATGCTGACTTCAGTAGAAAATGAACACACCTGGGAAATTAATGAAGCTCTTGGGGCACATATGATTTCATTGCTTGTTCTGAAATATCATAAAAACCCTGTCACCTTAATTTTTTAAAAGCGACTTTAATAAAAGAGGATAACAGGCCTGTTAGTTGGTCTTAGGATCTAATTTATAATAAAGATGCAACATGGCACACACTCGGTTCCCTTGATGCATACTGGATTGGAATAAATCATCTTTTGGTCTTTCTAGATGCTTCCTCATTGGGAAAAGGAATGCCAGAAATCAATATTCAATTACATTAAGTGACTATTTTTTATGCACAGGCATGTACAAATTCACTCTTGCTTAATTAAACAAAGGCAGTGGCCCTAGGTTTCATGTCCTGACATGCCATTATTTCATAAAGAATAATTAGTAGTGCTGCATATGCATGAGGAAGACATCACCCTGTGACACTGTGTCTGGTTGTGTCAAGGAGACTGAGCCTATTTCCTTAGCTGCATTGTCATAGTTCACAGATCAGCTGTATTTGGTCAGAAGATAACAATGGATAGAGGGAAGTTAAAAAAGGTAAATAGGGGGAAAATTAGGATTTACCAAAAATAATCTTTCAGCACAAGCACAAACATGAACTTCAAGTATAACCACATACATTCCTGAATGTTAGGTTAATGTCTCTCTGATGAGCCACATGGGAAAGAGCACAAAGACACCTTACCTATCTATGCTCTGCCTACTCTCTCCAATTCTAGGATTCTATGATTTAAACCACTTATTCAATAACTGTCTGAATTCCTTTGTATAATAACCATGACTTTGGTTGAAAATCCGTGAGTTGTATGTGCAAAGTACCATACTCACACATCGGTGTTTACTATTTTATTTGTATAACCTTATAAAGTAGAGATTTAATAGTTGACAAACCAAACTAAGATCAGATTACTTGTCCAAGGTCACATGCTTACAAATGACAGGGTTGTGATTTAAACTTGGACCATGTGTCTTCAAAACCCCCATCTCAGGCCTCTACTGCGATGCCGGTAACCAGCAGACAGCTCCCACCTACTACAGCATAGGGCATACTGCTTTAAAAATAGCCATTCAAATGTCCACCACAGGCATCAAACAAGTAATGTAAATTATCTTATTTTGAGTGCTCATTCATGAAGCAATGCATTATATATTTAGCAGCTGGTGTGCAGCTATGAGAAGATACCAGCAGTCTGCATGAGTGGAAAGAATGGGCTTTAAAACATAGTTGAGCTCAAGCTATAGCCAACACTTATCCTGGAAGTCACCATCAGTTTGAGTGCAGAAGGTCTTTCTCCCTCTTGCTGTGACACTTGGGATTGTATTCTCTGGGTTTATGAATACTGAGGTTTTAAGGAGTTTCTACCAACAATGATTGCTTTTCATTGACTAAACTTTGCCAGAGCCAATTCCACTGAGCCAATTGGAACTGAATTGGTTCCTTAATTGATTTTCTCTTCACAGCAATTAAAATGTTTCCAATTTATTTCTATTTTCATTTTGATTTTAATGAAATTATTTTATTAGTATCAATCCTTTTCTATTTCACAACAAAGATTAGATTCAGCCTTCAGGAAACTGTTTTAGGCCCCAGCAATTTGAAATTATGAAGAACATAAAATCCTGTTGTCCAGCAAGCTTTCAGGATTTCTTAGCAAGCCTATTGCAATCATTAAGCTGAGCATATGAAATTGCCATCTTTGTAGGCTGGAAAGGGTTGAATATTGGCAATTTTATATTATTCAATCTATTAAAAGAATCCTAAATAATATAATGGGGTTATGCTCATATTTTCCTCAAGATATACAATTTATTATTATCTATCATTTTATTATAAAAGGCACACATGTACATAAAAATATCACCCAAACAATACAAAGGGATTTATGGCAATGAAAGTCCATTGGCTGTAAGAAGTTCATAAGATGTAAATTCTATGAAATTGGGGCAAAACACTA